CAGCCAGGGGTGGGGGGGGGGGGGGGGGGGGGCATGCCTTAGATGTTGACCACGCGTCCTCGAGAGGACGGAGCTTTATTCCCACAGGACCGATCACCGATGGCCAATCGTCCGTTCCTAGTTTGTCAAAGGTGGCTCGAAGTATTTGCGTTCGGTAGTCGTTAGGCCATTGACCTCGCATCCCGCCGAGGCGGAGCGATACGTCGGTTTCCGGGCTACGTTTCACAATGACAATCCTTACGTTGGCTGTGGCAAAGGGGAGGGGGGGGGGCGAAGGAGAATTCAGCAGCACAACAACGGAACAGCACTGGTATTGTAGCGGTCGCGGTCATCTTGATGGTTGGCGACTACCTTTGTTTGGGTGGAATTGAATGCCTATCACGTGGTGTGCGTGCGGCGCGCTTTCTGCTTGAACCTTGACGGAATACACCCGGTATGTATCCGGTTTGAAGTCTGTGTCGCGCTTGGCGTTCCCTTCCTTAATGTCTTGACACAAACCCTCAAGGGCGACAGCACAACAGCAGGACGTCCATAAATCCCTGTGCCATAAATTCTCAACATACGTCAGCGGTCTACATTCAGGTCGGAACGGATTCGGGTTCACTTAAGGCTCTTGTGCCGCCGATTGTCTTGAGAGGACGAAGGTCTCGACCAACAGCAACGATCCTCTTGCGGATGTTCGCGGAAATGTCTCGTCGCTAACCCAGGTGGTGCATGGAGAAGGGCTCCGCGGCTACGCTAGGTTCCTTCGTAGGGCTCGCGCCTGAAGGGGAGGTGCTGGTTCAGGGGGTCAACTGCCTCGGCAGGTACTGCTTTCCCGCTTGCACTATGTAATCGTACGCAGTATCAAGTGTCTCGTCCCTCTTGTCCTTTCCTTTCCCGTCTCTTTCCGCTCTCTACAACGTCGTTTGTGTCGCCGCCTTGTGTGTGTGTGTGTGGTTCTGCCTACCGCGAAACAGTCGCTTTTTTTGCCTTCAAGTGTGCAACCAACAGGTGTTTGGATCAGTTGGCGTATGCATGGTACTAGGTGTGCCCGTTGTACCAGAACCATGGGAGGGACCGCTCGTGCCGTCGTGTTTAGCCCTGCGTGTATCGCCGTGGTAGGTATGACTGCAAAGACCATTCTGTCAGCGCGCGCGGATACGCGCCCTTGCTACTTGCTGCTGACATGCATGTTGACGGGTAAATAGACCAACACCCCCCATTTATGCTGGTTGCGCTGCTGCCGCTGCCGCTGCTGCCGCCTCCGCTGCTGGTGATGCTGCTGGTGCTGTGCAACGTGAAGGTGCAACAAGGGGCCTAACGTGCGAGTGCGGCAGGAGACCGGGAACTGGCTGGAGTTCAACCGCATCGAGAACGTGGAGCGCGTATACAAGATCCTCAGGGATTACCTGGGTGCTGATGTGCGTACGCACGAACGGACGAACGTGCTTGCTTGTATCGCTCCAGGAGGATTTTTAATGATACCGAGACGGGAGTACCCGTAATCAGCCAACGAGCAACCAACAGCCTCAACAACAACCAAAGCAGTCGACAGCCTTCGTGCTTGCATCTCTGTAGAAGTATTTGTGTGATATTGTACCAAGGGAGACGGCATGGGGAAGGTCTCCTAGTTGCGGTGCACCAAGGCGGATGACGGCGTTTCTATGAGTTTCCGGGGAAGTCGTTTACCCGCGGACGGCGCAGGACGGACGTGGCTCTCGATTGCCAAACCGACAGCACGGCCTGCTGCAAGCAAGCGGAAGCGCGTTGAGGCCGCCACTTGACTCGCGGGTTCTTTTGACGTTGCCGGGATTTCATTCCTTCTTTTTTTTGTCATACCGGAGGTGTGCGCATGTACTCTTCTCTTCTTTCGTTTCGTTGAGTTTGCTCCCGCGTGGGATGACGTCCCCCGTCCCCCGTGATTGGCCCGTTGTCTTTGCGGTCGGCGCGTTATGGTGCGTTTAGAAGCCGAAATCAAACCATTAGAATAAGTTGCCCGTGCTGACTAGGCTAGTGGTTTGGTCGGCTCCTAACAAAGTTAGTCGTCGGTCAGCTGACTAGTCTACTGGTTTGGTTGGGCTTCAGTAAAGTAAAGTCGTGGGTTCGAGACGGGGTGTTTTTTTTCTGAGACCCCGGATACTCTAACTACGACGACGGTTTCGTTTTCGTGACAGGTTTCCACAGAGGCAGCGTTATGCCTCAAGCACAAAATACTGGCTAACGCTGCCTTTACGACGACGGTTTCGTGCTGCTTACAGGTTTCCAAGGAGGCGGCGTTGTGCCTAAAGTACAACTTCCTGGCTAACGCTGCCTTGAACCGCAACGAGGTGACCCTGGCCATCGACTACTACGACAAGGCCATCGACACCGGCTACGCGGATCAGCAGGGTGTATTGCTGGTAAGGACAAGTTGTGGGAGGGAAGGGTCATGGTGCGGGACAGTTGTAGATGATGAGGTGAGGCCATCGACACCGGCTACGCGGACCAGCAACAGGGTGTATTGCTGGTGGGAACAAGTTTTTTGGGGGGGAGGAGAATCGCGGTGCTGAAAAGCTTGTACCACCTTAATTACAAGAAGGAACGGGAGTGGGGCGGAGTTGCGGGGTAGCCATGCACCTTGCCTTCTTCTATGGGCTACTCGCATTGTCATTATCCCCACGCTCCTGAGATAAGTCTCGAAATACTGTACAATGTAGCAGCGGCAATGAAAAACTCTGACTCCGTTTGGCGTGCTTCTAAGCAAGCCATCTCTACCGCAAAGAATCATCTCTTTGGCGCACAGGGTGCTCTTGGCGTCATTGGCGGTTGTGTATCGGACATTCTTCCCTTCGCCGACGCAATCTGATATGGTCTTGCTTGTGTGAGACCATCGTGTATTCTCATGAGTGTGTGTGGAGATAAAGGTGTGGAGAGCATCCGCGGCGCTGTGTATCCACGCTGCATGAAACGAAAAATAGAAAAAAATGAGAATGGCTCGCGTGTACCATATGCGTACTTTCTAGAGAGACAAACATCAGGAAAATTGCGGGCACCTAAATCCTATCTCCCACCTATTGTCTTTCTCTAGAGGTTCCATGTGTAGGTGTACAATGTGGGAACTATCTGCCTGTGGCCCGTGGGATTATCACGATCGGACAATACGATTCCACTGCATCGCTTGACCACCCATCACCCATCACCCATCACCCATCCAATGCGCCAGGTGATGAGGGCGACGGCCTTCATCCAGAGGGCCTACAGCCACGGCCGGGCGCTGACCGAACTCCTACAGAAGGTCGTCGTCGACAGACCGACACAGACGACGCTCGATGTCTTGCACGAGGTGAATGGGGGGGGGGGGGGGGGGGGGGGAATTTCCTGGAACCCCATTCCCCAATATGGAAAAAATTTTTGGCCTGGGTGCGGAAGCCCCCCCCACTTCCTCCCCCCCCCAAAAACCACCCCCCCGAAAATTTTTTTCTTGAAAGGGGGGGGAGGGGGGGGGAACCCCCCC